GTCGTCTGCCATAGTAGTTGTCTTGTTTCACAACATCTGACAGTGGACTTGATACATTCTCAAACGTTTCGCCTGCATCGTAGTCGGCATCATCAGTAAGCCTTGCCATTCTCCGCACCAAGCTACGAACTCGTCATAGAGACAAGTGAGGCCAATCTCTCGACAAACGTTCTGCCGAAAACGATTACACTATCACTCCTCCCTCTGCCCTTGCCTATCTAACTACTCTTTACCCTCTTATCCCACTGCCGCCCTATCACAACTTCTCACTTGTTTACATTCCAGTCATCAAAAATGTGTGCCCTTTTGTGGCAATTCTAGTGTGGCCCCATCACACTTGCTATCCACCCCAACCCCTCTCTTTCTATCGGCTTATCCGACTCGGGCCTTTAATCCGGATCCCTTCATTGTCTTGTGGATCCGTTCCTTATCTTTCTGGTTGACCGATTTCACTCGGTTCAAGTCCCTGTGTGCATTTAACTCCAGGTGCTATTTCTCAAGGGCCTAGAAGCACACACACTGCCACCTCACTGAGCAGAGCGCCTAAGCCCTGATTTCCATGTTTGTGGATATCAGGCCTTCCCTTCACGGGTCCTCTACCTTGATTAAACCCATGTTATCTAAACAAACTGTGGACGCTTATTTCTGGTCGCATGCGGTATCTTAAGTGAATTTCTTGTGTATTTTGGGCATACCGCCCAATTTTGGTTTGCTTATCCGTCTGCCCAGATCCCTGACTGCCAGGCCCCCAAATGGTGTAGTGGTTTATTGGAAATGTGCATCACTCACTGACAAACGTCTTCACTTTATTGCAGAATACCCCTTCCCCCCATTTTCTACCTCACGATCCCTTATGCTCCTGTTAGTGGTAGATCCTTGATCCAGGCGTCTCCTTGTCGCTGGTCTTGCTTCATTCTTGTTTTCTCCGAGTTTTCTAATGCAGTAGGCAAAGTTATCCCTAACTCTACCTTCCTCCAATCTCCTGTTCATTAAATTTTTCTCCCCAAGGATGTCAACGGCCTCCCTAATCTTACGCTTCTTTGTGTTGTCCCCGTATTGTGATTCAATCTTCCCATATTACCTTTTTAAACTGTTGTCAACGTTATGGTATCAT